CCAAATAGTTTTTCTCCTATTTTTAATTTGTAGTTAACATTCAGTTCATTCAGAAAATGTCATTTTTCATAAACTGAGTTTCAAAAATTCTTGAACATAATTTTGGCAAAATTTCTTTTAGATTTGTGAAGTAATTTAGCATCAAATGGACATTAATTATTATAAAGACTATATTACTAATTGATTAAAAAATTTAATATTTTACACAAAAAATTTTCTTGTTTAATATTCCTGTTTATTTGAATGTACCTGATTCATTGATAATCATTGATTACTAATTATTAATTTAAACTTTAAATATAAGACACCTGACTTTACTACTCCAACTGTCTAAATATAATTCATTTGACATCAATAACTTAATCCATGTTTCCATGATTTTACAGATTATTTAGTTTGTAACAAAAACATTCAATATGTAACTCAATTTGACAATATATAAATCATAATTTTCAAATAAATATTTGATAATATTAATAAAAATTAATAAGTTGTGTCCAGTATTTGTTTATTTTACATTATTTTTATTCTTAACCAAAATTTACATTTATAAAGAAAATTAATTTAAAATAGAAAAATGTTTGACGGATTTTTGAACTTGTTAAATCTTAAGTCAGATGATAGTATTTTGGCCGCACAATTCACCGGTTGTAAGGCGATTGAGTCGGGTGAATTCAGTACTGTATTTAAAGCAAAGCACAGATTGGATGGCAAAACGTACGCGGTGAAAAAATTAAAATTAGACCGTATGTAAACACGTTTAATTAAACTATCTCAATTAAACTTAATAAAATTTGACCAGGAATGGAAAAGCAACTTAGTGAGGGCGCATTCTTCACCGAACAAGATAAGCGGGTTGAAGCAGAAGTGAAAACATTGACCAAGCTCAACACAGAGTTTGTGCTCAAGTACTACAACTCGTGGACTCAGGAGCAACACCTCTACGTATTCACGGAGTACTGCAAACAAACGCTCGCAGAAGTACTCAATGAGAAACACGAGGCGTTTGGACGCCAACCGACGGAACCCATGGAAAGCATTGAATACTTTATTTCGTGCGAAATATTTCGCGAACTCTTGGAGTGTTTGCAATACATTCATGGCTTGTATCCGCCGGTTATTCACAGGAATATAAAGCCTAACAATATTTATATTTCTTATGATAATAAAAACAGTCGGTTTATAAAGTTGGGTGACTTTGGTTTGGCCACAGATTACGAGCACAGGGCCAACACTCAGAGCGACCCGAATGGCAAATATATGGCACCGGAAGTGAGGGATGGTTCGCATTATAGCATTAAAGCCGATGTTTATAGCGTGGGATGTGTGGCAGCGGATCTGTTTGACATTAATACTGTGTAAGACTATCTATTGTATTATATATTGTATAATGCTAAATTGATTTTTCACGATCAAGCAATCAGGTCTTTTGTCACTATAATTGTATTTAATAACCATAATCGTGTAGTTTAGATTGAATAAAATAACTTAGGGGTGATTCGCAAATTACGTTCGCACTCGGGGGAGGGGGGTCGGCCAAAGCGAACTTTTGCGAACGAGGGGAAGGGGGGTGTAGAGACTATAAGAACGGTCGCATTTAAATTATCTGAGGAATTTATGGGATTAATTTATTATCAAAGTTAATTATTTGATATTAAGTTTTAAATGAATATATGACTATATTAAATATTAAAATAGTTTTAGTTCAGCAATGCAGCCCATATTAGATTAACTTTGAAATGGTATTGTATTTCTAAGAGGTGAAGTGGGGGGACTCAGGAGCAACACCTCTACGTATTCACGGAGTACTGCAAACAAACGCTCGCAGAAGTACTCAATGAGAAACACGAGGCGTTTGGACGCCAACCGACGGAACCCATGGAAAGCAT